CCAAACCAAAACAAGCGCTTTCTTTAATAAACCTGTACCTGCTCTTAGCCTCCTTCGTCCCTTGGAATTCATTCTTCAGTATTCTAGGGACATCAGCTTGGCACGTGTGAGGTCCAGCAGGCCAGGAGTTGTATCTTTCCTGTATCAGTAGTACCTTTCATTTTCCGTTGAATTCCTCCCGTCCCGGAGCTGGTTTGGATTTTGCAAAGCCTCGGATCTTTTTTTCTATTTCCTCTATTTTCTTCATCACGCTACATGACAAAAATCTAAAAGCTATTGAACATTTCCTTTATGGAGAGAGAGGGCAAGGATGATTCAGGACAAAATTATTTCCCTGGAAGATAGAAGGGGAAGGCTTGAGATACTCAATGGGTTTTGATCCACTCCTTTATTTACTTAATCTGCCTCCTATTGGACATTTTCCTTGGCTCTGGTTATTGGCAACAATGACACAGAGAACTGCTTTGTATCTAAAGCTTCTGAGTCATCTACAGGGAAGTATTGGAAAATTTTTATACTGTCACGTCAGAGGACAGGTGCATTGATATTCTGAGTACTGTCAAGTTGCCTTCCAAAGGGATTGCAGTTCATACCTGTGGCAGCAACAGGTGGTGGTGCTGGATTCCACACCCCTTTGCCGACACTTTAATTTATATGTCTGTAATTATAAATGAAAATAAGAATATTTCTATACCTTTATACGTGATTTTAAGGTACAGTGGTGCATGCCTGTAATGCCAGCTACCTGGGAGGCTGGCATTCCAGGCGGGAGGATTGTGAGGTTGAGGCCAGCCTGACAATGGGACGAGAGCCTGTGCTTTTAAAAAATGATTTTTTTTCCTGTGCTCTTCACTTCCTGTTATTTTTTCTATTTTCTATTGATTTATAACAGCTGTTTATTAAGAAAATTAGCCTGTTGATCTAGCATATGTGCTGCAGGTATTTTATTAGCTTGTTTTCAGAGTAAAACTATGTTGCCTGATGTTTCCTGTAAAATTTTAACAATTTCATAAGAACAGTGATCCACCTAGAATTAGGTTGGCGTGAGGAGTCATGTGGCGATCCGGTTTAGGGCTAGGGTGCAGCTCAGTGGTAGTGCAACCCTGCATTTGGTCCCTAGCACCTCAAAAACAAGAAAAACAAAACATCAAAAGAACGTAGTAAGTTAAAAAGAAATAGTTATTGTAGCACAGTCTCTGCCAGCCAGGAATTTGGGTGGTTCTGAGCGGCCCACTCAATCTCTCAAGAGGTTGTGGGAAGACGTCAGCTCAGGGTGGTGTCAGAAGCCTGGTGGGGCTGCAGGATCTGCTCACAGTGTCCTGCAGGCAGGCGGCCTTGCTGCCTTGGTGTCGAGACTGGGCAGCTTCTTCCTGAGGGGCAGACCCAGGAGAAAGCACCGCAGAGCCCGCCTCTTTCAGCTGTAGCCGCAGAGTGACATGCCATTGCTTCTGCCACGCCCTACTGGCCACACAGACCAGCCCTGAGCCTCACAGGAGGGAGACTGTCCAAGGACAAGAACATTACCGGAGAGGGGACCACTGGGCCACCATCCACGTGGCCAACGCCCAGAAGACGCACACAGAGCATTTCTACCACTCAGTAAGCTCATTTGTGCATTTTCCTGGTCAGCATCCTCACCCTCTACCAAGCAAGAGGCAACACTGCTCTGTCTTTTATCACAATAAATTATTTTTGCCCATTCATCAACTTGATATATATGGAACTAGTCCTTTGTATCTGCTTTGTTTCACCCAACGTTGTGTCTATGGCTTCTCTGCTTGCTTGCAGCAGTTCATCCTTTTTTGGTGCTGAGTAGTATTCTATAGTATAAAATATCAGGTTTGTAGGCTCAACATATACCCCTCATTCTTTTGGGTTCTGTTAGAACTCCCTACTTAAGCTAGCTGAATTTTACAGACATGCTCATTTAAAACAGCCTCCAGCTACAACTCATGACTTTAGTGCCAATGGGGACGACTGACTCATCACCAAATGGCTCACTGCTGGTCAGACTTATGGTAAGATGTTACTCACCCCCGTAAGCATGCTGGCGTTGATGGTTCATCCAGCCATGGGTGTGGTGTCACTTCTACTCAGGACACTAGCACTGTGGGAGAACCTTGTGACTCAGCGGTCAGGTTTCATTCAGACTGGCATCCCCTTCTCTGGAGGATTCTGTCCCGCAACACACTTCTGTTTGCTGAAGGTGCTTTTTTCTTGCCAAATCTTTTCTAAAATAGGGAGTCTGACTTTTGTAAACTGAAAGCTTTCTCTCTAAGATGACTCTCAGGCCTTTACGGCAAGTAGGAGCACCAAGAGCATGACCTTCACTAAAGATTAGAAGGTGACGTCCTAGTGTGGGAAGAAAGAAGAACCAGGAATAGGGGAAGTCACTCTTCCAGCTGACAGAGATAAAGCTGATGAGGCATGTTTCACATCCTTTACTTGTTAAAGCACGCATTCTTATTTTTTAGTGATTCTCAAGTACTGCTAGCAGTAAGGGTAAGGATACCAGCAAAGGTTCTAAGACCTTCCCGACTCACTGACTACACACACTCATAACTCAGGGCTAAGGATAGTCAGGTGGCATTGCACAGTGGGAGAGCATCCAAGAGCCATGTGTGTGGAAGAGCTCACGGCAAGATGAGAACGGCAGCGCAGGCTCAGGCTTCTGTACCAACCCTCGCCTGGGAATTAACATGCCCCTTTGAGATCCAGCCCACTCGTGAGACCAGCATTAACCCTTTCAGGAGAATGATCATGATCCAATCACCCCCCACCAGGCCCCACCTCACACCATTACAGCGGGGAATTGGTCTCTACGTGAGTTTTGCGGGGGCAACCCATAGTCCAACCGTAGAAGCACACAATGTGCTTTGTGTTTGGTTTTTTCTTCCTGTATCTTGAAGTAGGACTAAATACAAGGGACATGAATCAAAATGGGACAACGACAGGAAAGATCCTAACATCTCGCGATAACTGCCTCACAAAGCCAGGTTGGAGATTAACTCCAACTTGGAGATTAACAGTGCCTATTTCGTAGGACTGTTGTTTGGGGTAAATGAGAAAATGAATATAAACTTTAAGAGATTATCTACCTAACAATCCCTTGGCAAACATTAGCCGCTGGTTTATTGCTATTGACAATCTGCAACACGTCCTGTGCTCACCACCAATGAAACTCGAAACTCGACTAGTTCCAGCACCAAAACCACCTTGTTATGAAATTAGGAGCTCAGCTTTCCACCCCTACAATCTGCAGGCCCACCTCAAAATGCAGGCGCTTCTGCCTGGTTCCAAGTAGCCTAGGATTAGAGTGGGTTCTTTTCCTCTGCTTTGGTATCGCTCCCAGGGTGGGATGTTGCTGAGACTTAGCTTCTGTGGTCGCAGAGGGTGGAGGGAACAGAGGGAAACCAGAATGGGCGTCGCGGGGCGGGGGGGCTTCTCAAGATCACTGATCTCACTGCTGCAAATGTGTTTCCTACAGAAGTTCTGCAAACCCACTGGGTGTTTCACAATAGAAAGCTATATTGTTAAGGACTGGAGGCCTGGGAGCTTCGTGTACATAAAAACAGAAACCAGGAACTTTCTATTTTCAGTGTTTTCACTGAATGTCTGAATGAAAACCTTTAGGAACCATTATAAATGCTCTCTATAGTAGAAATAACAAAACCATAGGTCCATTAATAAAATAAAGCTAAAGATCTATTTGCGATACCAAATATCGACACAGTAACAGTTGACTTATTCATTCTAAAATTCCATGCATTTAAGAATCTTGCAGAAATGACGTCTCACTAAGAACAAAGGGAAAAAACTGCAAAGGCAAATTGAGTCGTATATTAACTTTATTTTAAATTTCAGCATGGAATGTGTCATCAAACAAGTGTATGCAATTACGAACTTTTGTAGTTCAATTAAGCAGATGATTTGCATAGGAATCACTAGTTTTAAGTCTTAGGATGCACAGTTAACTGAAATGTGAATTAGGTTAAATAAAGCAAGAGTCACTCAAATGTGTGCAAACTAAAATGCAATTTTTAAAATAACAGGCTTTGCCGGGCGTGGTGGCACATGCCTGTAATGCCAGCACTTGGGAGGCTGAGGCAGGAAGACTGCCATGAGTTCAAGGCCAGCCTGGGCTATACAAAAAAGACCCTCTCTTGAAAAAAAAAACAGAAAACAATAACAGGCTTTTTGTTCAGTCTTTGGTAGATGATTAATCATCTTCCCTGATATGGATAATATAATGATTGTTCTAAGATATACACCCCTTACCTACAGTACGAAGGCATCCATTAAATGTCGTTAAAGCTACTGGATTCATTCTTATGGCCCCAGTATTGTTAGAGAATATTCACATAAAACAATCTAAGGACTAGCCCAGTGACAAAATGCCTTAGTAAAAACATTAAGTTTATAATTTGTGTTGTTTTGGATCAGTGATGAGCCAACTGTTTTTGGCAAAAGGGTTAACTAAAGGGAGAAATATAAAGTACTTAAGGCCACATTCTTTTCCTCCTCAAAATGAATACAGCTTTTTGAAATTCCCATCGGAGAAAATGTGCACTTGTATAACTGACTAAAAGAATGTCAATAAGGAAACTGGCACTGCTTTCTAGCTACCAAGATGTTTTGTATCTGTGTTTTGGCAACGGACTTGTCTAATCTTTCATCTTGAAATGAGATTGAGGATTTTTGCATAGCCAGTCCGGCTGCCTCTCTGAGGGCTGCGAGTTGCTCCTGACTAGCTTTGCTTGTGATACTGACCAAAATATATTGATTTTTACTGCATTAATCATAAGCACATTTAAGGAAATATTTTCTAATTTCAGAAATCACATTCTACCATTTACTGCCTTAAAGATGATGTTTTTAGTTCCACAGGTAGTCAAAGAAAAGTTATTTTGGGATTATAGCATTTCCCTCCATTTGAACATGTCTCTCCATAGAACATTGGCTGGAAACCAGTGAGAACATGAGCAAGAAAGCTAACAATGTGCAAAAAACAGAAACAATATGGGTGTTTATTATGGTAGATTACTGGAAAAAGGTTTAATTTTTGTCAGTGCAGTTAGGCATGGACAGAGGCAGTGAGACACCATTGATCAAAAAGTACACTGAATATAATTTTTAGTCCCTTGAAAATAATTCAATAAAATTCAGGATTCTTTCTTGGAATCAATCAACCCAAGAACATGCATAGATGAGTGCTTATTAAATACTAACAGGCATCTTTTAGTACATATACTCCTGTCATAGCAGCATATCATACTGGTATATATCACATTTTATCTAAGGACCTTAAAACCAAAGTATCGAGCAAAGTGGTACTGGAAGTCCAAGATTCCAGAGGAAATTAGGTCTACCTACTCATGGTGTGGGAAACAGACTCCCAGAATAGGATGAAAGTAAATGCTCAAAGGGACAAGTCTAAATTTCTCATGGTTTGTACTTTTCTGGACTTCCAAATTTGCCATTGGTGTCCTAGCGTACCTATAATGCCAAGTAAGTGAAAGTAATTTTTACGTGTCAGGAATGAGAAGGGGATTAATTAGCAAACATACAGTTTGTCTTTCCTCTAGTGCACTAGTCCATCTTTGAATAGCATGTGGCGGAATGTCACAAGTTGCTTTCTAATAAGTGCAGGTTTGAACCTTATTGATTCCCAGTAACCATGGTTATAATCTTTGGGTGGAAGAAAACATTTCTGGAACGACATACATATATATGTAAAATATGATGGATCTATACACTGTAGCACACCTACATTTAACAAATAAGCAAAAGCACAGTCTTCCCATCTGTTAAAGTAACGAAGCTTCCTGTCCCCTTGCTTAGTATTGGAAACCCCGTCTAACTTCAAGGGTAACTGGGAGACCCGTTAGCACAGTTGTCAAGGAGTTTCTGTGGAACCTGTCAATACGCCAGGCCTGCAGCTGAGTGCCGGGCAGTATGAGGAGCCCACTGTAATTTAGGGAAGGGACCCCCAAGTTCCCCTTCTTCACTTGGTGTGCCAAGCACAGGGACCCCCAGGGTGCGCTTTCTGGGCATATTTGTTCTTAAAAGAATTTCCAATCCTCTTTGAAAAGTAATTTCTTTCTTGACAGTGTGAATAAGATTTCTTTTGTCTTTCTGTCAAATATGCAACTAAGTTAGCTCTTCCTCTGACCTTCTTTACTTCGGAGGAGACGCAAGATACGTTCATTTTTGGTTAGTTCTGCTGGAAGTTCATTGGCCTGAAAGAGGATGAGATGAATGTCAGTGAATGCCCACAGCTGGCTGGTTTGAGGGCCTGCAAAGAGGGCTCCTGACCCACACTTTCCCCTTGAGTATGGAAACCCCTACTGGACTCTCTTTATATTAAGGTAAAACAAAGATCTCCTTCAAATGTATAAATGTCATGTGTTGCTTTTTTATCTCATTGTTAAAGTTATCTTTCTGTCCACTCAGATCCTCATCAGACTAATCCCTGGAGGGCAGAGCCTACATCTTATAAATCATTAAGCATTGTTTTTGTTTTTTTATATTTTACTTTGGGACAGGGTCTTGCTAAATTGACCAGGTCTGGCTCAAATTTGCATTCCTTCTGTCTCAGCCTCCCAGAATGCTGGGATTACAAGTGTGAACCACCAAGTCTAGCTAGATCCATCTACTGAAAGGGGTACCTCTTTCCCTTGCAGGATTTATAATACCATGTACTGTTCATTTGGAAAATATTTGTTCACTGAGTTATGCAGATCCTCTAAATGTTGACACATTTTATTGTGCTATATTGAGCAGAACACATTCATTTGTATTGTGATTCATCAGAAAAGCTTTTTTGGACTGGGAAGCCGTTCAGCTCACTTCTTTGTGAAGGTACTAACATGTCCTCTTCGCCTTAATTCAGCCCTGGATAACTCATCAACAAAGACTGATTTCTAGGAAGTCTATGTACAAAGTCTAAAGACAAAGTCTAAAAGAAAGGCAGTTATGACTTCAAGTGGCTTATCTCACAGTGAGGCCAGCTCATGGAAAACAAACCTGAGTATCTCAGGAAGAGATAAGTAGAAAGTTTATCCTCAAGCACTTCAATGCTAGGAATAATACTTCTATATGCTAAGTAAAATTGGGGGAAAAAGTGATCCTGGGTTCTGGCTTATTGTTTAACCAGCACTTCTTAACAGTTCCTTTTCAAAATGTCACAAAATTATATATGTGTATGTGTGTTTGTGCATGGTATGAAGAGTGTATATTGTATACATATGTATATATGTATATACATACATGTACATATGTATAGAGCTGTATATTTATTTATTTTTGCAATGTTGGGAATGAAACTCAGGGTCTCATATGTGCTAGGCAAGTGCTATACCACTGAGCTATACCTCTATCTCAGTTGTTTTTTTTTTTTTGGTACCAGGAATTGAACTCGCGACCTTGAGCTTGCAGGCAGGTGCTGTGCCACTGAGCTATATCCCCAGCCCTATACTCTATCTCTGTTTTTGTTTTTATTATTAAAAATGTTAACACAGTAATGGACACATATAAAAATTCAGAGTACATGAGTATGGAGTAAAGTGAAAATTTCTTTTCATATCTTCCCTTATCAATAAATGTCAACGCCAGGTCCTCCTTCTGTGATTAGTCATTTAGACCTTGGCAGAAATCCCCCTCCCAATCTGTTTATTAAGTAAATATAGCCCAAAGCAGATGTCAACAGAAGTGAGTAGAATAACAATCCTTTCTTTAATCGTTATTGTGTACTTGCTGACTTCCAAGTATAGCCTAGTTGTAAACTAAGGATTTAGAATTATATATTTTAAAAAGAGTTGGTGTTATAACCAAGGCATGTAGCCCTATGAACAATATAAAGGTAATATTTTCCCAAGTGGTCACCAAATAGCACAAGCAACTTTGAAGAGAAGAACATCACACTTATGGGATGGTGATAAACTACCAGAACTGGACATTTTCAGGGGACATCTCTGATGACAGAACATCATTGCTTATTTCTCATAATGATCACCCCCCTATCCAGGTCAGGAGCCTGCACCACTGTTAATGGAAAACCATTGACGATGTGGGTCCAAGAATAACCTACTAACAGTGACCTTGTGTGCCCATCTCGTGCACAGTTTAAGTAGGAAGAGAGTGACCAGAGCCAGAGAGACAGCTTAGGAGGATGTTGCCTTGCCTCTTTGCACACGGCCCGATGGAGTTAAACAACAGGTTAAGTGAGTACCTTGTTTCTCAGGGCTGGGTCCGCCCCTGCTTCCAGGAGCAGGGCAACTGTTTTAATATTCCCGCTTAGCACCGCTGCATGGAGAGCTGTTGTGCCATTCTAAGAGAAAATGACAGCATGTGTCAGGAGTGACTTACAGCCACCAGCACGTCGCTTGGCTTTCGTCATAAACCGTCTTGGAGATGAGACCGCAACGTCAGAGTCTTCCCCTTGTCTTCCCCTGTAGTTTGAAAGTCACATCACCACCTAACATAGTGTCCTTAGATGCACAGCTGTGGTCAGCAGAAATACTGCCCATGTTCTGTGCAAGGGAAACATGGAAGCCAGCCCCCAGGGCGTGCATGACTTCATGGTTGCTCAGGTAACTTCAGAACTTGATGCAGAAAAAACAGCGGTATAGTGTTAAGCTGTCTTTTCTAGGAGTCTTTGCATTTTTGGTGAGCCACTTCCAGGAGGACTGGAGGACCAGCCATGTGGCCAGTGTCCACTGTCAGGCCAGAAACACTCTCCCCACTGGGGGGGTGGGGCAGGAGAGACTGTGGAGTTACAGGGCTTAAGGGGAAGTCTCAAGGCCACTTCCCTGAGCCCAGGTCAGACCAGATCTGAGCACAGAAGGGCCTAGTAGATGGGTTGCGGACATTAAGAAACTTAGCACAAATATTTATTAAAATAGGGGAGCAGCTGAAAGCAGCATATAGCTGCATCTGGGAGCGGAGAAGAGTAACGAAACCCACCTATCAATGATGAGTGGTGGGGCTGGGGATTTAGCTCAGCGGCAAAAGCGCCTGCCTCGCAAGCACAAGGTCGTGAGTTCGGTTCCCAGTACCGGAGAAAAACCAAAACCAAAAAAAAAAAAAAAAAATGATGAGTGGTAACAGTACACTGGTTCCAGAAGGTATTTATATGTGTAAGTTGTACCCAAGTGCAAACTTGGTCTCCTAATTAATAACTTGTAATAAGAACCACTTAGGTTTTGTACAAGGAAGATGTCACACCCAGAGAAAGGTTCCAGCAAAGGAACATTTTTCTATGGTTGCTTCCGTAATTGTATGAAAATTCACTAACCTGGTGACACTTTGTAAACCTAAATCTTAACCAGTGTATCAACTTCCATTTTTAGCAAATGGCTAAAAAAAAAAACCAAAAGCCAAAAAACAAGACCTGTTAGAGATAAGACTGGATATTGCAAAGTCCATTTCTAAAGCTCCTCCCTTTTGTCCATAGAATTCACTTTTATAGATGATATGTTCTTACATTATAAGTTTTAACAAGTGCCACTTTCTGGTCTGGATTCCAGGTTTATGGAAGATTAGGAGGGGCTCGTTAGGAGAGTGCAGAGGGCCAATACGTGACAACAGCAGCTCTGCATTAGCTGTCAGCAAGAATGGAGTCCAAACATGCACAGCGCAGATATAAGGATCCTAAAAGCTCTTGGAGCCATTCAGGGCAAAAAGATTCTATACACATTGGTAGACCAGAGGGCACAGCCCCAAACTACTAAGTCACTGTGCCAAGTTAGAAAAGACTTAGCACCCTCTAAGGAAGCAGGGATATACGTACTTGGGGGTCAGCAAGCTAGGGCCTTGGGTCAAGTCTAGACCACAGCCTGTTTTGTAGTCCTATGAGCTAAGGGCTGTTTTTGCATTTAAAAATGATGTTGAAGAAGAATAAAAGGGGAATATTTTATAATAAGTGAAAATATGGTATTTCATAACTACAGCATGCGCAAGTGAAGTTTACGGGGACACAGCCCCGTTCTTTTGTTTCTTTCCCCAGCTGCTTTCCTGCAGCCATAGCAGGGCTGAGCAGCTTTGGCAGAACCCACACAGCCTGCAGAGCCTACAATTTTTACTGCCTGGCCCTTTACAGAGTTTGCTGACCCCTGATACATGCCACAGTTAAGAAAGATTTTGGTCCAAAATGATAAAAGCTTACCAAAGAATTGCTGGGCTCTGTTTTCTGGAAGACTCGAGACTTGGGAAAGTCATATATCCTTAAATTTGCAGGCATTTGAAGCTAATTTTATTTCATTTAAGGTAACCAAGCAGAATGGTTCTCTGCTCAGGATAACGGAAAGAAGGACATAACTGGGCATTCTTTCTTGATTTCACAGCTCTTTCAAATGACACCAATATAGTCTACTTTTCATTTACCAGTTTCATTACTATTATATTTTTTTCCTGGAAAACTAGGTACTGGTAGGTACTGGCAGACTCTGTTTTTTTTTTTTTTTCAATCTTCTCATTCCTGCCATGTGTCTTTAGCAACAAGTTGGAAGCGTGTTCCAGTACCATAAAAAAAAGAAAGACAAGTAAAAAGAATATATTAACGAGGCTGATTATACTCAAATTCTATTGGAGTCCCCAGTATAGGCTTCTTTTCTAACCTAGTTCCTTTATAGATTGGTATAATTTTTCTTTAGGTCTTACCTTCAAAAGACCGAGCGTGGGTGAGAATTTAAGCAGCTCTTCTATAACATCATTATACCCCTTGTTGGCTGCTTTCAACAGTGCTGTGGTTCCATCCTGAGCAGAGAATGGGAAGTAAAAGTTGATTATACACACATGTGTGTGCTGACTCTGAAAAAAAATGTCAGTTGAGAACTGGCAGCAAAGTATTTGTGCCAGAAAAGGCAAAAATCAGCCTATACTGTGTCTCCATGTAGCTGCATTTTAGAGCAGGGTAAGCAGTTAGTTTTGCATGAAAGAAGATGAGACACAGTGCGTGACTATTTGTATCAGTGGTGGCAAACCTGTGGCACACATGCCACAGCAGCCTGATCACAGAAAGCTCTAAAAGGTTCACCATCTGGGGCTGGAGATTTAGCTCAGCGGCAAAGCGCCTGCCTGGCAAGCACAAGGTCGTGAGTTCGGTTCCCGGTACCGGAGAAAAACCAAAAAAAAAAAAAAAAACAAAAACAAACAAACAAAAAATAAATAAAAGGTTCGCCATCACTGGCTTATATGATCTTTGAACTCTGCCATTTGGGAATTTGTTCCTCACAAGAACTCCAAACATGTGTTTTTAAGGAACTGATGGCCCCAAGAGCTGTTCTCTGCTGTTATTAATGACTTCACAAGAATTGTTTAACCGCCTTTACTGATTTAAACTATTGCTGAGCTTGAGTTCTTATTTTAAAAATTTATATAAACTTGTAGGGGAAGAGGGAAGATAGATTGAAATGTGTTTAAGAAAAAAGAATGAGAAGGAAGGAAGAGGAGGCAGAAGAGGGCAAAGACAAATTCAATAACATTCAGCTTCTGAGGGGCTGGGGATTTAGCTCAGTGGCACAGCGCCTGCCTGGCAAGCATGAGGTCATGAGTTTGATTCCCGGTACTGGAAAAACAAACTAAAAAAAAAAAAAAGAACATTCAGCTTCTGTCATTCATCATTTTTTTTAATTTTAAAGAGGAAAAAGCAATAAAAACAACGATACAGGGTTTCAAAACAAGATAATCAAAGAATCAACAACTGGGATCTTCTCTTGTTAGAAAGTTTTTGCACATCAAAAGAAATCACCAACAGAGTAAAAGACAACCCACAGAGTGGGAAAAAGTTTTAGCCAATTGTCCCTCAGACAAAGGACTTCTATCTAGAACATATAAAGAATTAAAAAAAAAATCAAACCCCCAAAATTCAAAGACCCAATCAAAAAATGGGCATCTGAGATGAATATGTACTTCTCTGATGAAGAAATATGAATGGCAAAAGTATATGAAAAAATGTTCAACATCTGTCATCATTTTTGACTCAAGAAGGCTTCCCGATTTCCTTAGAGACTGGCTCTCCGTGGCCAGGGCCCTACCTTGGCCTGCCATTAGGGCTTATCTGGCTTCAGATAAGAAAGAAGCCAGCAGAGGTTTTTTTCCTTCCTGGATTCAGAGACGGTGGGAAGAAAGAGAGGTAAGGACAGAGGGCAGTGAAGTGGTCAGGGAGGTACCGTCAGATTTCTCTCTTCGGGCTTGGAAGAAGGTGGGTCGCATAATCAAAGGTAATGCAAAGGCAAAGAAGCCAGATACAGGGAGACAAAAAGCAAAGAGCGGGGTGTGGGCCGGCTCTCGCCAAGCTGCTCCTTGCTCCGGTGGGCTGCGGGGTCAGTGAGGCGGAGTCAGAGTGCAGCGATAGCAGGCACAGGGGGATGTGTGCGGGGGGTCTGCAGCGACCAGAGGCAGGGGTGCGGGGCAGGCGGCTGAGACACAGCCCGCCTCCTGCCCCAGGTCAAAGAGGACTCTATCTCCCCAGGCGGCGGACAACGAGCCAGCACCACCCGAAAAGTTTCCACCGAACCGGACTTTGTTTTCCAACTAAAGAGCAGGCAGATTTGAGAGGCAGCCCAGGTGAGCTGCAGACTAAATAAACACCCCTCCCTGTGCGTACACCTGCTGGATCTGGGGATTGCTGGCTTTGCGGGTGGCGCCGGCGTCCCTGTCCCTTGGGCACTCACACTGCGCGCGGCGTCGCGCTCGGCTCCGCGCAGCAGCATCACGCGCACCACCTCGCTGTGGCCCATCTGTGACGCGATCCATAGGGGCGCCGTTCCGTCCTGCGGGGAGAGGAGGCCACAGCGTGTCAACCCACCCGGTCCCAGGCCTGCGGGGACACCGGTTCCCAAAGTTAAAACCCTGGGAAAGAGCCTCCCAGGCCCACTCTGCAGCTGAGCCCTGCACCCCTGAGTTACCCAGGGAGGAGTAGGATGTCCTCAGCCCTGGACACAACGTGAGTTCCGCAGTGCCTGTACTTGACTGACGGCCAGTGTCCAGTTTTTGGCTGATAAATTGAGCCATTTTAGCTTGGATTTTTTAACCGTAGAGTCTGGCACCACTCCGTGAAGGCTGTGTGGGAACCGTGCTCTCGGGGGAGTGGAACTAAGCAGAACCAAGTTGGACACACCCACAGAGAAAAGCCCGCTGACCTTACTTCTGCCCCAAATCGTGCATTTCTCCCCTTCCTGGTGGGTCACCTAAGGTGCTCAGCGTGCACCCTGCCCAGCAGAGCCCTTCCTGCCCACAGAAGAGTGGTCATTTTCCTTTGAGGCGGGGTCTGAGGGTCAGAGCACTCAACACCTTTCTCCTACTCCCCTTTGTTGGTGTCCAAAATACCCTACAGCCACATTTGCCTTAGAAGAGTTTAGGTTCATTTTATGTGGAAGGTGATGCATCTTCTAGAACCGGACACACACTAATTAGCAGGACAACATTTTGGGCAGCATTTCCTGTGTGTTAGTCCCCTTTTCCATGAACACAAGGCCACAGTGCTGAGACGGCTGCTCCAGGGAGGAAAAGGTAAAACATCCACCGGTGGTTCCTGCCCAAAGGAAGGGAAAAAGGAAGAGGCCTCCAGAGCAGGAAGGAGAAGCTAAGGAGATGGGTACGTTCTCCTCACTCTCTGGGCTGAATCTGGGTGAGTGTGGGAGAAGGAGGCAAATAAGTTGACTGTAGTAGAAACATCCAGCTAATTTCTGGGGAAGTCCAGGCAGGAAAGAATTTTTCTACCTCTTAGACTTAGCCCAGAAAAATCACCAGCCCCATGGAGAGGCCCTGAGAGATAGAAGAGAATTGGTGGTGGGTGACGTTTGGGCCAGTGGGTCAGAGACTCCCCTCATCCCCACGGCCCACATCCAGCCTGTGTCTGGTATCCAGGAGTCGCTGGCTCCCTGTGGGAAATCAGAGGTGCTGAGGAAACAGTGGCCTAGAGTAAGCCCAGATTGGGAAGACGGGCGCAGAGAGGAGCGGCTTCGTGAGCAGAGACCAGAGTGAGACCAGTACTATGGTGGGACCAGCTGCACCTCTGGGTACCGGGGCAGGATGCATGGGAACCCGTGCAAAGTTCAGGCTTCAGTCTCCCCAACACCAGGGTGACAGTCTGACTTCTGAGAACTTAGGTCACATTAGAGAGAAAGACAAGAGGAGGAAGCAGAATTCAGAACTGGCTAAATTTAACCTCTGAAGTCATTGTAATACAGGCTGGTTTATCCATCCACGGGAAAGTGGGCTGAAGACCAAAGTGATGCAGTTATGGTATATAAAGTTACATTTTCTGCGACTGTGTGTAATTTCAACCCAGCCTACTAGCCAAAACAGGGGCAGGACAAATGAGAAGGGACCAAGACTTTTCAGTAGGGTGGCAGAAGATGGCAACTCAGAAGCCTAAGGGTGCTGAGAGGCGGTCACAGGATTTGGTGGCTCTGTCTTGGAGAAATGGGGTGAAGAGGCGCTGATACAAAGGCTAGAGCAATAGAAAAGATACTTTTTACCTGCCTTGGGCTTTTTCCAGGCCTCTTGGAAGTATGCTAGCCTCTGATATTATTTCACCTTAATTCATACTTCTAGTTTACTAAGCACTTCTACATTCTTTTTAAAAATTTAATTGTTCCAACTTATGACTTAAGCATTCATTCAGACAACCAGGAATCATTAAGCATCTTCTACATCAGAGGCAAGAAATGAAAGATGGAGTCTTTCAATGTAAAGGAGAAGAGACGCGGACACTGGACCTTTCTATATGACTGCAGGGCTACATTAAAGTATGGACAACAGGGGCTGGGGATTTAGCTCAGCGGCAAAAGCGCCTGCCTGTCAAGCGCAAGGTCGTGAGTTCGGTTCCCGGTACCGGA